AGACCCGAGTTGCAAGGGTTGTTGAGAAGAGTATGGTATCAATGGTATATTAAATCACATGATCACTTAATCTCTTACGATATCGGATAATGGTGACTTGTGTTGACTTGATTTCCCAGTAGCTGTTGGAGTGTAGATAAAGAATAATCATCAATTGATTTTATTGATTCCAAAGAGGATGGACCGGATGATGAGATTGATGGATTGGTCACAGACGAAGTATGATTACCACTTATAACACCAACAATATTATTACTATTATTATTATTAACATTATTATTACCTGTGGATGTTGGCGTCGACGAAGTGGGAACCTCACTAGAGGATAAGGAATTTAAATGATGATGGACAGTTGAAGATTGACGACGAGGATCGGTTAAACTTCTGTTGATCATGGATGATGTTGCATCAACCGTTTTCAATGGAATTGCACTGGTTTCTTTAGCACCATGAACACCTATTCCGGTTTTAGATTTAACACTACCGGAAGTTGATGAGAATAATTTTTTATTATTAACTTTAATCACATCACTGGTATCCAATGGAATTAAGACATCAGGGTACTCGGGGTACTTTGACCATTGACTCAGGTAAGACTTCTCAAAAAATAATTTTTGACATTCACGAGATGCAAAATCAACCTGAAGACGTCTACCATTAAATAGGCGACCCTTCAGATCAGTGACTGCATTAGAAGCAGATTCAACTGATTCATAACATACAAGACACTTTCCCCTTTCCCTATCCACTGTTAATGAAACAACGGTGCCAAAGCGTGAACATTGACGAAACAAACATTTATCTGATGTAGATTCTGAAATACCATGAAGCCAGACACAATTGGTGGGCATTGATTTACCAAAGCCCAATTTAATCCGATTGGCACCAAGGTTTTCACCATCCAGTTTCCGCATACCCTTAACTACACTAGATATATCGGAATACTGGATGAAAGCGTAGGTTGAGGTTCCTTGTTTTTTAATATCTATCTCAATGATTTCACCGAAAATTTCAAAATGAGATCGTAATTCTTGTGTGGTTATATCTTTCTCTAAATTACCAACAAATAAAGTTCTCGTAGCTTTTGGATGATATTCATCTAATTCAGCTTCCAATGGACGAAAATCATTATCTTCAGCATCCAACCCTTCATGAGGTGTAACTTCAATCTTGCATCCGAAGAATAATTTGTTCTATGAAGTGCGTGTGTGTGTTTGTTGTTTTTTTTTATTTTGTTGAATGGTTGGTTGGATGGTTGGTTGTTTAATTGTTGATTGTTGTTTGTATAAAATCAAGAATAGTAGAGTTGGGAAAAAAGGCAGTTGAAAGAAGAACGAAAGAAATGGCAGAAGGGAAATAAAGAGAAAAAAGAAAGAGAAAAAACCAGGCATGAAAAGTCGATCAATGCTGTTAGCAAGGGAGTGGGAAGCTTCCAGGAAAGAGTAAGTGATGAAAAAGAAAGGCACAAAATGACTTGTTTCTTTTCCTCGCTTTTTCTCTCTTTCTGAGGGTTACACATTTGCCTCAAGAGGAAGAAAGAGATAGAGTAGTTTATAGAAGAAGAGCCAACAAGAAAAAATAATGGAAATAACGAAAATAATAGTAATGAACATAATAAAATAATAATACTAACTAATAATGAAAATATTAATAAAAGAATAAATAAATAAATGGAAATAGTGATAATAATGAGTAAAGAAAAAAAATAGGAACAGAAAACAGAGACTAAACTAGAGACTGGAAAAAGAGAGCCAGGAAAAGCAATAGAAGTGCAAATGTAAGGGAAAATAAATTCTATAATGGAAATGGGAAAGGATAAATTGAATAGAAATGAAATATCTGTACACTTACTTTTGAGACCTCTAAAGCTTTCTCGACATCTTCTGCTTTCTTAAATGAAACAACAGCAACCCGATCAGTTCCTTGGCCGGTCACCTTTACACCAATTACTTTACCGTGTTTCTTATATTCATGGAATAATCCATCTTTTAAACTAGAATCTGTGGATCTGATGGGCAAATTTCTTATACAAATACCAAGTGGACGATCATCCTTAAATGTTGCTGAAGAATCAGATCCTGGTGTAGGCAAGGGTTGCTGCTGTTGAACAATGGTAGATGATGTGGTTGTTGTTGACGAAGAAAAAGGTGGCTCATAATATTTTGTCCACAAATTTCTGTTCTCCAATCTATTTTCCGAATTATGGGCTTTGGAGGCTGCTCGGATATCAATGAAAGATACGGTTGCACTTAAATTATCACATTTTCCACTCAATATCTTTACACGTTGTACTGTTCCATATCTGCTAAAATGGTCCACAATTTTAGATTCCGAGATATTATCCGGCAAATTGCCGATCTGCAGATGTCGAGTCTCACGAACCATTTACACAAGCAGAGAAAAAAAAATTAAATAACGTAATTGATTACTATTAAAAAAAAGATACAAGCTAAGGACATAGTTTTCTTATTATTTAGCTTAAGGTTTCAACATTATTTTTTGCTGTATGTTGTTTTAGTTGGTTTTCTGGTTTTCCTTTACTTTGCGACAAGCTTGAGTTGCCCAAACTAACTAAAACTGAACAAAGAGAATAATATTGATTATCTTCTCATTGGTCCGTTGACAGAGATAAAGTGTGTCATTTAACCTTAAATTGCACACTTTTATTGTACTACTGTGGCACCTGGTGAGCAAGAATTACATTAAAAACAGTAAATGTGTGTTTGGACTTGTTTTTGTTTTCTTACCAGTCTATTGGTTAAATCTGTTGAACCATATTTTTAGGTTTGTCGTTTGTTTTGATTTTTTTTACATTCACTTTAATTATCGATGGATTAATTTCTAGTTTTTTCATCATTTACCACTTTATCTATGATGTGTGTCACCGTTAATCTTGTTCTTTAATCTCAAATGCATTGGATTTTTAGCTGAAAATGTTATAAGGTATTTTCCAATTGTTACACCATCCATGTTTGTCTAGTTTTTTTCCCATTCTACATCTCAAACGTTGTTTCCATTGATGTTTAATTTTTTTCTACCCTTTCTAGCACAAGACTAATTTGTTTGTTTTTCCCCTTTATTTCCTCTTTTCTCTTCTTTCGTCACTTCCATTGTGTTTTTCTCATAGATATTGGCGTTTCATGTGGTTAACATTATCATTGATACATCCGTATTTCAACTGTTTTTTTGCTCTGCCTTCTCATGGCTGTGATTACTTCTAAAGACGTTCTCAACCTTTACAGGTCACTCATTCGATATGGTTATAATCTCAAGCTATCGGACAAGAAATTTTACTTGAAAAGAATTAGACAAGAAGTCAGAAAGAACAAAGAATTAACCAAACCAGAGGACATTGATTACGCATATCAGGTATAAATGTCTTAACTTGATATTTAACACATGCTTATATCTTACTCATAATTTTTTTTCTCATATTTTCCATTTCCTTATTGCATATGGCATATCAATCAATATCATTTGGATACCATTGTGATAAACTCTGATGACTTTGGGATCAATTTCTCCATATGTTGACACAAACCAGAAAGGATTAGTTTTCTTACGAAATGGAAGACTTATGTGAAAAATGTGCCAACTCTATATTTTTGCTGTGACATTGGTTTCCAGAATCACATTTAACTAATTAAGAAGAGACTTTTCAATATAATACATTTAGTTTCCCTGGAGATTAATCGTGCTGTTAATTTTTCACTGTCATAAAATACAAGACCTTAACATCTTTTCAAGTTAAGGTCATAGAAGTGAAACAATCATCCTAGTAATCATCTTAATAAACGCTCCAACCAGTTGTTTAAATTGCTCAGCATACAATTTCTGTGCAGAGTAAATTGCATTTTTTCCTATCCATAGAGGCTTTCATTGAAATCAACGGACTCATTTAATGGTCACCAAATTGCACCTCAATGTTTACCCTAAAAGAACTTGTTAATTGGTTTGGTGTGACAGTTTTTGAACTGATTATCATAACTGTTGCCATATTTTTCTACACAATTACCATTGCAATCAAACTAGATGGTTTTTTGCCAATAAGCTGGTGGTTCGTTCATCTACCGCTATTTCTAGCAGATTTTTTTCTAGCCTACTTTTGCGTAATCGTGTTTATACGGCAATGTTTGGACTGTCTTTACCGGACCGCATTTTTTCGAGCTTTCTGGAGTTTCAATCAAATTGCTGTTTTATTTACCATCAAATTTTTCCTATGCTTGAAGTTAGAAGGCGATCGACGGATAAGCTGCTCAGAGATTTGGGCTCCAATCTTTTTTCACCTTTTATTGTTAATGTTGCGAGGCTGCCAAATCCATTAATAACAAATTGAAGAGAAAAAGGAAAAAAAGCAGAGAAAAATTTATAAGAAAACCTCTCAAGAATCCAACGGAAATCATGAGACCGGAAAACGTAAACCTACATAAAATGTCATAAAGAAAGCAACATTTCTGGTATTACCTGGCTATGAACATTTGTATAAAAGCTGATTGAACAAAACAAAAAAGAGGAGGTAAATTTAACAATCCATTAAAATGGAATTCAATTGTATCATTAACTTCATAACAACTACACCAACAACAACAATTATCACAAGTTAAATAAATTTGTACATTTTCACATGTAGTTACTGTAATTTGGTAAAATTAATTTCAACGTAATCAGCCTATTGTGAGCAACAATGGAACAGCCCAAACCATTTGATTGAACCAAGCAACAAATGTCTAAATGATGAACATTTAACAAATGATTGACCCAAAAAGTTACTTTCAAGTTTTACCACTACTTCAATAGCTAATTTTATTTGACCATCAATTGAGATAACCATCTTATATAAATTATGATCAGATGATAACTTGGATTGATTAAACAAGAGAGAGAGAAAAAAATATCAAGAAATATTTATATTTATCAAACAAGATATTGAATCGAAGCAATATTTACTTTTACCATTTCCATCTAACAGTTAATTGCTTTTACACAAAATTCAGATAAGACGATAAGAGCAATTAACTGAATTATGGAGACAAAATAATCAGATTATTTAGAGTATTCATCTTTTATCAAAGTAAAAGTCAATTGAAGATTCAATCATCTTATCAATTGACATTTTCAGACTAAACAAAATATCAACAATTCCAGCCATTATAATTAACCAAGGTTTACAAACAAAAGGCCAAACAGTTTCCTTGATCAACATTCAGTCCAGCAAATAATGACCATTTACCGATTGAAAAAATAAGGTTGAACAAAAGACATTTTACATTGAATTATCGACTATTTGCTCGAGACGAAACAAATGTAACAAACTAGAAATTATCAAATTTTTCCATTTCAATCAACATTCACTGTAATCAATCAATTTTCACCCATTTGACCATTGCAACCTCACAACCCTTCCTAATCGATTGACCAGTGTTGTGCATTTAAACTTGGATTCAATGTATTATAATGATACAACAATAGTTTACATAATTTCCATTGAATGGTTAACTTTGTTGCTCATTGATTTACCTTTACAATTGATTAATGATTAAAATGTTTGATTTATTGATTAATTTCCTTTGGACTGACAAACAAGAAAAAATTGTTTACAATATAAATAACTGAAAATAAATGATATACTTTGAATGGATCTGAAATCAATTTACAATCCATCAAAAGGTTTGGGTTAAAATGGGTTTTTGTACAAACCAAATGATCCATCATACATTTGCTACAAAACCGCAACCATTGAATAATTAATGATAATAACTGTTGTACTTATTAAGAACCATTGATAGCAATTAAATTGATAAAAACATTGATCAACTCTACAATTGAGATGTTTAAATTGGCAGATCCAAAGGCTGTCACTCTTTGGCAACCTTAATCTGTACCATTAGTATTGAGAAAAAAAAACCTTTTTTTCGTTGAATTTCTTCTCTCCTTTCATGTACAATCCTCTAAATTTGGTCTCCATGTTGACCATGAGTAGTTCACCAAAGGCTTCAATTGTAAATACAAATCGATTTCTTCTTAAACATTGAAAGGTGTTTACAGCTTTTGAACAGTATAAAGAACTTGAAATTGACAGAATCACCCTGATGCACACACATTATGAAGAGAAACTGGCATCAATTTATTTTCCTTGTAATGCATATTTTCATGATTACATGTAAAATTAGATTCTGTGAGTAATATTAAAATGCATGCTTTTCTTAGCTTTTTTTATATCATTTTCTCTGTTCGTTTTTACATTCAATTCAGGTTTAAAGCTACCAACTGAAAAGGTTCAATAATAGCTGAGGTTCATCATGCATTCAAATCGATTTCTTCTTCTTCTTCTTCTCTCAAAACTCTCAGAGTGAGATAAATGGTTTATTCCGATCGATAACGATGAACATGCCCAAGAGTAGAAGCAATAATCTGAAAATATCCAAAATATGATAATAAAGGGAAGCTTCGACGAGGTGAACCAGTTCAACATTTACAATTGTTCAAAATGAATTACTCTCATTCTGTGCGTAGAAACAGATAATTAAGACATTTATTGATTCCATTTTTGCCCATTATTTCTGGTTAGTTAAATTTAAGCTTTTGTTCAATTTGCACAGGTTTCACTGTATTGTTACAATCAACGGGAAACACACACACAACACAACACAAGAAACGACAAAATACAATTAATAACATTTCAAGTTGACACAATTTATCAGTTACCAGTTTGGGTTAAAATGCATTTACCAATTGAGTTTTAATGGTAGAATAATTTGCTAATTGGAAAAAAATTACCATTTAGAGGCAGGTTAAATTGAAATGTTTCGTTTGGGTAACAATGATGAATCCTTAATTAATTAACCATTATATTGATTGAGCAGCTGGGATTGATCGAGAGATTAACCTTTTAAAAGTTGCTGTGAAAATGATAATCATGACCATAATTAGAATAGCAAATTTTTCTCCAAATTTTCAAGAGCTGAGGCGATTGTTCAAATTGAAATTACATTGTGTTTAAAAACCAAACTGCTTTACAAATGGCAGTTGAAAGCTTCAGGAATAAATTATCAGGTAAAATGACTGAACCCAAAAAGCCAATGGAAACATTGAAATTAAATTAAAACAGAAACATAAATCAAAATTAACCAAAATTATCAACTTAAACCAGAAAAGACAAAAGGTTTACTCTTGTTACCAAAGCTTACATTTACCCAAAGCCAACATTGACAAAAGGCTGAGTAAAAGAGAGCTTAAAATTGCTCAAAATATGAACTTACAAAACCAGAAATAAGCTAATGATAGATTCATATTTCATGGTTAAGGTAAGAACGAGATTTTTGTTGGGAATTTCATCTTCAAAAGGATTCTCGAGAAGATCGAAATTTCCTTCAAACTCGTTCTTTGCTGTTTCCTTTGAAGAGACATGTATTTTCAGGTTGATAACTCAGCTATTTGTGGCATCAGTTGAAATTGACTGGAATATTTGTAGAGAATGAAATTATGAGAAAATCTGGAAATAATTTGGGTGAAAGTTGAGTGGTTAAATAATAGTATGAAGGAAATTGGAAGAACATTTGAGGAAAATTTGGCAAATCAGAACGATATTGTGATTCTTTCAATTTATCCATTTGTGTGTTCAATGTTCAATGTGTTTTCAGTTGCAAGTAAAGATAATTCATTGATAATTACTGATAATTTTACACAGTCGAGATAAATCATTGATTGATCAATCAATTTTCAAATGTTCATTGAGTGCTTTGTTTAAACCAATTTTCATAACTCATACAAAATCTTATCCAAATTGATCATTACATCATTTGATGAGCTATCATTTTATGAAGCCTTGTAATCCATGTATTTACCTCAATTAGTTTCATAAAAATTGTGATTCTTTAAACTTTTGTCCAATTATTGGTATCAATAATAAAATGATGAAATGAACGTTTCAGCTTTCACTATTCAAAGTATTTCCAGGCTTTCTCATAATTTGATTATGAAATTATTATAATTTCCTTGTCGATCTAGACTCATTCACATATAAAACAGTTATCAATCTAAAAATATCACCTTTATCCTGTACTTTTGTACTTTGAATACATGGAATGATGCATTTGATTTCTCAATGAAAGTTGATTACGATGATCAACTGCAACACATTACTCATTTTGAAACCATAAATATTTTTATCCTTGGATTGAAAATTTAATTGATTCACTGCGATTATTGATAAAACTACAACAAAATAATGAAAAACTGATCAAAAGACTTAAGCACAACATTTTGTACTTCAGTGACTGAATTAAATCATTGAGAAACTGTATCTTACTGGAAATTACCGTGTTCCTGACATATTAGCACAGTCTTTATATGTAAAATGTGCTTTTAAGCTCTGTTTTTACTCACTCTAAAGCACATATGCTTAAAAATGAGCTTTTTTGTTGAGTCTTTACATTAAAATGAGTTAGAAGTGATCTGTAAAACCGGTTTTTAGCGAAATGGTAAAAGCGCTTATAACAAATATACTCACTTATAAGCAATGTGATGATATGTCAGGAAACACGGTGACTTATTTTCACTATTTGCCGTAAAGTTCAATATCTTTGTTTATTAGACGAATAATTTGGTGAATCATTATTTACTGATTTCATAATTTTTCTAATCGATAATTTATAAACAGAAATAAACTCAACTCAAGCAATTAAATAGAGGAAAATGAAATTGGCTAAAAATCAACATCCACATTAGGGACCATTGAAAAAATTAGGCCTAATCTCTTGATGATGACTGCACTTGAAGATTAAATACAACACCGTAATTATTGTAACAAAGAATCACTGATTTTTACCATAAATTGAACTGAGAATAATCGATATTAAAAAATATCACAAAAGTTAAGAGCAAGAAATCAATGAAATGAAAAAACTTGAATATTAAAACTAACAATGAATTAGCATAAATTGGAGAGAAACTAATAAACCAAAGATTCACTAGATGGAAGCAGTAAACCAATGATTGAAAAACAAAAGCCGCAACAGTAATCGCCATCTAGCGATAAACTGAAGAATGTTGAAAATTACGAGTTTAGTTCAAATGCAAGTTGAACTTGTTACGGTGAATTTGTATTCTGGTGTATTGACCCTTTTATTTTGGTTCAATTTTTCAAGGCAAACTTTTCACCTTCTCATTATCCATTGATTAACCCAATGTTAACCCCATAACAGTACAAAATTAGGTCAAAATAAAGAGTGTTTGTGAATCAACAGAAGTTAAATTTTGTTGACAAGCAAAAAATTAAATTGCAAAAAGGAACCAAAAAACGCGGATTGAAATAGTGTCGAGACTAAAGTAATTTGTGTAATGAAATATTTACAGTAAACAATTGACATAAACAATGTTAATTCATAATCAACATCCAAATCGACTGAAAATGTTTAACCCAATTGGATTTGTATTGATGATAACCGTTAGGTTAATCATTTGTGGACTTTGTTTATCAAGGATTGTTGTTCCCTATGAAGTAACACCTTTCACGGATCAACCTTTTGGTAAGCATTGAATTTACATTAATTACATCTTGATCAACTAAAGGCCGTTAAAGATTATTAGTGTTGAAATTGAACAACAAGCCGAGAGCCGAAAATTCAATTAAATTAATCATGATGGATTATGATTAAAGTGATGACAAGCCTGAAGGAAAGTAAAGATATACACAAAAAAGGATAGTAATGCAAACAGAGGGAAGAAGCGAAATATTAACCTTTCAATATTTCATCTTTAATATTATGATTATTTCTTATTTGTTGTTTACTTGTTGTTACTTTGTAATGTTACAGTTGGTGATAAAACCTTTTCCAATGATAAACCGATGATTGAAATTTTACCTTTAGGCTCATATGGGTCAATTTAATATACGTTAACAATATTCATTAAAGATTGATAGATTTAACAGCATAAAGAATATCATGTTTACATTCCGATAAAGTTGACAGTTTATCATGAAAATAATTAATAAACATTGAGAGAAACGAACAAATGATTATATTGATAATGAGATTGAATAGACAGATTTTTCAGTCGCAACGAAAGGACGACTTGTAAAGGCTGGATTTCAATGACAATTGTTGTTTTAATGAATGATAATTTTCAAGTGTCAAGTCACTTTTTTCATGTTTTAACTGGGAGTTATTAATATTTGAAAATAAAAAATCGAAAACTCGGATATAAAATAATAAAAGCGAAAGTAAAGTTTCAAGAAAGTATTTCCGAATGAAAAATGTTTGCTCAATGTTTGTTTATTTGAACAAATCTTTCGAAACTTCTTTTGATGCTAAAAGTTGAATCTTCAGCAAATCAAGGAATGAAAATTACGGATTTTTTCAAGTCTTCGGTTGAAAATAGTTTTTTGTTGGAAAAGCTTGGAAGAAAAGATTAACATTTTTTACATCTGAAAAAGAACGGCGTTCTCTAGATATAAATTCAGTCTCTTGTCAGCTTATGGTCTCATTGAACTTCCAGAAAAAATGTAACTACATTTACATTCATTGAAGACGAAAACTTGCAAAAAAGAAACTTTTGTTTTTCTGAAAACCCGAATGCTATCTTTATCAAAGGCTATATTGATTACACCAACATAGTTTTACCTATGGTCACACTGAGTACTTAACGGTATCGTTATCTTATAATGACGTTTGACTTAGAGACATTCACTCGTAATCCCTAGACGATCCTAGAGAATCCTTAAACGACAATGTCGATATTTTTCGGTCGAGCAGACACATGTGCCATTTATCCGTACCTGCGATTTCATTCTTACTAACCAGGATCTATTTTGCAATGCGAATCATCATTTGATGAAAACCAACCTGTCTCACGAACTCTTTGAGTTTTTTTCTAGTTCAATACAAGATAAAAAATGAGTTCGAGTCTAGGTAAAGATGAAGGCAGATTGAGTTGTAAAATTCAAACGTTTGCCAATCCATCAACGAGCCTCTGAAAATCGTGTATTTGTATTCGGACTCAGTTTGAGAAAGCAATAAATTGTTGTTTCAAACGAACAAACTCTTAAAGATTGAACAAAATTTCGCCGTTAATTTACATTTTCATTTTGTTATTTTGTGCAAACAAAAAGCATTTTAATGAATGCAAATTGAACTGAACAAAAAAAGTTGAAATTTTTGTTGAAATTATTTCCATTTTGTAAATTTTGTACAATTTTACCCTTGAGATTAATTGAATCAAAGTTTGGACTGGCAAGGTAAAGTAGCAGCAGCAGAAAAAGTTAAACAGTTAAACTGAAAAGTTGATGAAAAGGCGGACGAGGTTAATGTTGATACTGGTTATGATGATCATAAAAGGTAACCATAAGTTGAACCTTTAAATGATGATAGCAATAATAATTGATAAAAGATTGTTTTCTTGAATAAACCTAATGTCTAAATAAATTTAATTTCTCATCATTTTTTTCCTTTTCTTTCTCTTCCTTCCTCTCATCATGCTCATCATCAACTCACAAAGGTTTACCTTTAGTAATTTTAAATTGCCATTTCCCATTCTTCCACCATCTTCATCATCATCTCCCATTTTATGTACACATCATTATTAACTTCATCGTCAACTTGAGTATAAAACTATAATCTAACAAAAGCATACCTTTTGCATGGCTTTTTTTGTCCTCATATATTTACCATGAAGAGATTTAATTTACTTCGGCTTCGAACAGAGAGAAGAATGAAGAAAAGAAGAAAAAAAGAGAAGAAGAAAAAAAATGGTTGATTTATTTATGAAAATGATGATGATGATGATGACAAAAGGAGAAGGAAGAAGAGACCTAAAAAAATGATTATCATGATTACTGGGAGTTACAACTGGGAGTGATTTTGAAGGATAAACTTTGTCATTATTGTTGTTGTTGTATTTTTCAATTCCTTGTTCAACCTTTCCCATTGTGAATGATAATTTACTCATTTTACTCTTGATTACTTTCTCAAGAGAATTAATCTTCAATTATGTTCCATTGCCAGTCATAATCAATTTAACTTTAATCAAATCAAAATTAAAAGTTAAATAAACGCTTTTGTTTTAAACATTTCCTTTTTTTAAGCATTTCGCTCTTTTCTCTCAACCTTTTGCTTGTTGGTCAAAGACTTGATCTTGTCACGACAAGTGTTGAGGGCAAATCAGACAAACTGGTTAACCTTTACAATTGTTGCACTAATCAAATTGATTAACTTGGACTAATGATTCAGGTGAACCTTGTTAATCGTTATCTTGTTATTAACGGTTAACCATTTCAATCTCTTGTCCACTCTATTGTTGTCCAACCATGAACCACTCAAAGCCACTTGCGCTTGGTTAAGCACACAAACAGATGATTACTCTGGTATTTCTCATCTTAATTATTAACCTTTACCACAATCGGGCAACAAGAAGAAGAAGAAAAAAGTGAATAAAAAGTTCTTGTTGGAAATGATGAATTCTATTGAACAAGAGGTTGAAGGGACAAAAAATGCAAGAGAAAACAGTATTATTCCATTTTCATGATAATCTAATCCAAATGAACCTTAAACTCATTGATAGTCAACCAAGCAAAAAGCCATTGATCAAACCTTTTAATGTTCAACCAACTTCCGTTTAACCCGTAAACATTTCCCTATTCAAGTGAATCAATTTAATTACAATGATTAACCAAGTAACATTCAACATTTTATAACAAATTGCACTTTCATTTACACCAATTAGATGGAGAAAAGAAGAAGAAGAAGAAAAATTTGTCTTTATTCAATTAGTTTCCAGAGAAAACAATTTCAACCTCAAAATTGAATCAAATTTTGCCCAATTAATTGACCCAAAATGAAAACCAAATTGTCAATAAAAAGAATGAAAAAAAAAACGAGATTAAATTCACATTCTAAATGTTATCCGTTGAGTAAACAAGGTAAAAGGTTGCAATTTGAATGGGAAGAGACACAAAAAAAGAGTTTACTTTTTGTTGTTGATTAATAAGGTTTCAAATTGATTCAATTTAATTGCAACTACAAATCGAATGAAAAGAATAACTGAATGAATAAATTAGCCTTTTCCCATTAATTAACATAACCATAATTATCTTTCACTTTAATTGCATTAATAGTCTAAACAACTAATCAGTGACGAAAGATGAAGAGTAAAAATTGAGCGAACAAGTTTAGTTTTTTCTGAATTCATTTGAACAATCAGATGAACGACATGGAAAGATCAATAATCATTTAGGAATATAAAGTGATGACAAAAACATAAATTTTCAACATTTGAAACAAAAGACAATTAAAAAGTTAAATCAATGGGAATCTAAAAAAAGTAAACTTGGAAACTGAATAAATGATTGAGATGATAGTATTGAATGTCAAGTTGTTTCATGCAAACCATTTGTTTCTGTGACTTTTCAAGATGCAAAAAGGATGAACAAAGATTAGACGAATAATGATGATAATCATTAGGAAGATGATGAAGAGAGAAGCAAAAAGATTGAAAGAAAAGGATAAAAGCAAAAGTAATATTAAACTGATGAAACTGCAACTTTGACTCTATTTGTGTTGAGAACGTTTTTTTGCATTTTATCTTTCAAATGGCAACTCAAGATGACAATAACGATGGAAAAGGGTAAAAATGGTAAAGATGATGAAGATGGAGAAAATGTTTTTCTTATTGCAACTTGTTTCGATCAAACATCAATTTAGAATGTTTTTTTCCTTCTTTGTTTCATCTCCAAACGATTCTCACGATATCATCATTTTCATTTCTAGCTGCTCATCACCATAATCATGATCATCATCATAATCATTGTCACTTTGTTTCCATTAAATATCACATTTTCACCTCTTTTTTTTGTTCGCTTTCATTCGCCAGTTTTTTGTTCTTCTTCATCATAACCATTATTTAGATGTTGGAAGCTTCAATGACAATCATTGCAACGATTAAATCGATTGTGTCAAAATGTTGAACTGCGAAGGAAAATGAATCTCAATTTGAATCGTTTCGTGATTTAAAAGCATCAACAGTCGAACATTAAACCATTGACAGTTGAATGGTGACATGAATCATGTTCATGATGCAAGAAGAGAAAAGGAAAAGGAATTTTGAGTCAATTTTTCAAACCAAATGTTGATGATTGAGTCGAACCTTTTGCCACCTAGAAAAGGGTCGATTACACGAAAGACATAATTTTAAAATGGCAATTTTCACTTCGACTTTATCAAAATGTACATTTGAATACGGACAATTGGCTGCAAACAAAAAGTCAAATTGATCGAGAAAATGTTCATTTCTTTTTCATGGGTTTTCCCATCGATTATTATTGAACTTTCATTTTCAACATTTCAACCTTTTCTTTTCTCTACATTTCCAACATAATAATATCATGTTATCATGATTTGAACATTGAATATTCGGTGCAAAGAGAGAGAAAAAAATGAAAAAAAACTTTTTCTCCAACTTTTTACTTCTTCAGTGAATATTAAAGCTGCCTTTTTGGGCGAACAGGAAAAGATTCAGTAACATGTTGAGATGA